TTATTCTCTCGTGAGGACCGACTGACGTAGAATGGCTCCATTCCACTTGGCATACGTTCTTGGCGCCAGAGTCTAGAGTCATATAACTGCTTAAAGATTTTTTATGATTGATTGTTTATGATACGTGCTGATATTTCGTGTTAAAGTGTATTTTAATCCCTCACAAAATCTTTTATTCTCTCGTGATTGACGTAGAATTATACTTGACATGCGGAAACAGCGCCATATGCAAGTGTTGCATGTCATATAACTGGATAACGTTGTCTCATTGATGTTGTTAATTTTGATATGTACTTTATTTGCCAGATTTTATTTTGAATCCATGAATTTTTCCTATTTATTATCGTTAAAAGTTTATAATTGCAAAGAATTTATTTATTTAAGATTGAATTTCAATTTGCAACGCCATCTAGCAAGCCGAAGGGATTTGCGAAAGATAATTTGTGTACCTCTTTTGATCCTCAAGAGACAACTCAATCTTGACTTAGATATAAAAATAATTGCAATAGTTAACACGGCAGGTGTAAGCATACAAGGTGTAAACACGATATATCAACCATGATAATTGCAAAAGGTTTCTTTTGAATGATTAACGAAGAATAGCTTCATTCTGCTGGCAAACGTTCTTGTCCTGGCTTCAGAGGAAATGATATTTATGGTGGGTTATAGTTGACGACTGCTTTTACTGTAAGAAAGCAGTTCGACCTCTTTGCACTCTTAAAATGTACTAGAGCGCTCCGTATTGGTTACTTGCACTCACTTGTGGGGTTGGACTTTTTCAAGAATTGAAGGCCATTGAAGAATATTTTTCTTATTAGAAAAAAAAAAGTTGACAAAGTCGGATTCGATCTCCAGTCGTTTTTGTCAAACCCAACGTTTTCAAACCCACTCATCTACCGACCCTCATAGTTTTGTTAACATTATAAAGTATTATAAGAGTATGTTTAATTAAAAGGCATATATTGGATCAAAATATCATTTATATTACCAATATTTCAGTAGGCTGAACGCCAACTTTTATCAAGGTATTATAACATATTTAATGTGTGTCAACAACAAACTCAGCGCCACATAACTCCGTGAGTTTGTTGTTGACACACATTAAAATGTTATAATACCTTGATAAAGGTTGGCGTTCAGTCAACTGAAATATTGGTAAAATAAATGATATTTTGATCCAATATATGCCTTTTTAATTAAAGATTTATTTATGGATTGCTCTATTTTAAAAACAATAAGAGTATGTCAGTCTAGTATATTCTATATTTTATTTTGTTTGCGAATTACCTATCTCTTTGTGAAGATGACTTTTATAGCGTGTGTTTTCAGCATATTGATTTTTTTCAATGTTGAATATATATATTTGTGCATTGTGTGTGTGTTTCAAAAATAATAATATCTACTACATTTATATTATTTGACCGAAAATATTAATGGAGAGATCAAAAACAAACTATACTATCTTAAATAATAAATGTTTCACCCAAACTCTGAAAGGGTTGAATAAAAAACATCAAATTTGGCTGATATTAACTTATTGTGTATATTCATGTCAAGTTTCGCGATATTCCACCAGTTCCTTTTGTGTGTAATGTTTTATATTTACACTGGTCTATTTTAGTTGTCTTAATTAATTTTATTATTTGGCTGAATATTTATCAGAGAGATTAAATTTAAGTAATCTATATATATAAAAATGAATGTATGTGTGCGTGTGTGTCTGTTTGTCCTTTATGCCTGACCAAACCACTCATTGGAACGCCATGAAACTTTGGGAAGTTATTTAGTATAGTACTGGGAAGGTTTCTAGCAAATAAAATTTTTGAAATAACTTTTCGCTTTAAAATAATCAAGATAAATATTCTAATTTATCTGTTATAATTCAACAATCTGCTCTAAATATTATCATGATGATACGATAATTTTGTAATGTAGAAAATTAGGAAAGACAAAATTCAGGATGACACGGCAATTTATTTAAGACAAGAATGATGATACAATTCCAAGGCAAGATACTATTCCTTTAACTTCCAATTACCGAGGGAACCAATTAATATTTATTTTATTCAACTTATCGAGTATTTTTCAAGGGACCGGGAAAAAATGTTCACTTTATCGAGAGATTCGTTAGACAAACCTTTACTCGGGTAAAACCCGGGCGAAGCCGGGTACGTCCGCTAGTAAATCATAAAAAAAACAATTGATTTTAGAGTTGAATTTGTTTATAAATATAAGAATTTGGATGGGGAGCCAGCAATGTTCTAAGTAAACCTATCTAAACAAGAAGCCCACGACAGTAAAACAATTCCAAGAATTAAACCAAGTGAAATTAGCCCAATTTGGGAGCTAATTAAACAAAAGCAGACTCCACTTCTAATTATCAGACCGTAATCTTCTGGAATCCTTTTCTGGAGAAAGGCCTGAGATTGCCGAAGTTTCTTGTTAGGAAGTATCTTCTGCCATACATTTCATCGTCTGGTGATGTTGCTTATATTTGCCTACAGATTTCTTCAATTCACACTGATATTGTTAATAATCTATATATATATATATAAGTGATATATATGTATTTATTTATCTGTATTTTCTGTAGAAATGCCTGGCGAAGTTTCTTGTTAGAATGTATCTTCTGCCATACATTTCATCGTCTGGTGATGTTGCTTATATTTGTCAATAGATTTCTTCAATTTACACTAATATTGTCAATAGCTCTCTAAATATATATAAGTGATATATATGTATTTATTTATCTGTATTTTCTGGAGAAATGCCTGGCGAAGTTTCTTGTTAGAATGTATCTTCTGCCATACATTTCATCGTCTGGTGATGTTGCTTATATTTGTCAATAGATTTCTTCAATTTACACTAATATTGTCAATAACTCTAAATATATATAAGTGATATATATGTATTTATTTATCTGTATTTTCTGGAGAAATGCCTGGCGAAGTTTCTTGTTAGAATGTATCTTCTGCCATACATTTCATCGTCTGGTGATGTTGCTTATATTTGTCAATAGATTTCTTCAATTTACACTAACATTATCAATACCTCTCTAAATATATATTGAAGTGATATAGGTATTTATTTTTCTGTTTTTCTGGAGAAAGGGCTGATATTGACAAAGTTTCTTGTTAGGAAGTATCCTTAGGAAGAATAGGAAGAATTTACAACTTAGCAACTCTCCAGTAAGAGAACACCTCTCCCTAAAGGACAATTCTTTGGCTCTGCAATTAGGTGTCCTTTACAGGGAGGTTCTACTGTATATTCATATACACCAATTGTAAAATATTTTAATTTTATCCTATATTAATAACAAATATAAAAATATTTAGATAATAAAAAGGCATATATATATTGTATTGAATAAAAGATTTATTTGCCAATAATTCGGTTGGCTTAACGCGAACCTTTGTCAAGGCATTACATATTTTGCATAAATATTTTATAGATTTAAATATGTATTGTTATATTTTCATAAACGAACTATAAATCATGTGAAAAAGGCATCTCCTTATCGTGCAACTTAAATTTGTACACCTTTTTAGTTGCACAATAAGGAGGTGCCTTTTTCATGATTTATGCACCTTATTCCAGAAACAATATCACATTTGTACTATTATTTTCACATTCGAACTAAATTTATTTGTAAAATGTATATGTTTAAGTGTATATAAAACGTAATGTATAGATATCTATTGTGTTTTTAGATGGATTTATTGCGGTAAACATATTTGTTATAACAAAAGCGGTCAGTTTCTTTTAACAAAAAACAATTAGAGTGGGAAAAGAAGAAAACCTAAATGTCTCCAATCCTCGTTTTTAGACAACCAATTCATTCCCCTCGCTTACTTGTTCTTCTTTAAGTCTTTCTTATCGAATGTCTTCTTCTTTCTTCTTATTCTTCTTTTTCTTTAATATTCAACTTATCATATTTGTACAAAACAATAACCCGCCATCTATACATATAAAATGAAATGATTTAAAAGCACGAATGTTTCTTTTATACATAATACAAACTTCTACTGCCCTTACTGCGATGAAAACCTTTTTTTCTACTGCTCTATAAGCTTATGTCCATAGTTTTCATGAAAACAATTTTTGAGATTCCACCCTTCAGTGCTGCGTATATAAGCAGAATCGTCCAATACAGTATTAGAGCTCTGAGAAGTGGTCTGGTGGATTAAATAGGCAAAACCGCTGGGAGGGTTCACCACTGATGAGCCAAGCCCTCCCAATATATTTTATCGCAGAAAGTGCAGTAGAAGTTTGCATTATGTGCTTTTAAATCCTTTCATTTTATCTTATTTGTGCGGTGACAAACTAGATGCACCCAAACTTTATCATAATAATGACGTTAACAAGGACCCCGTCTTGAAGCCGGATATGATTATGATAGATAATAATGATAAGGATAAATAAAAAAAATCATTATTATAGGGTAAAACTTCGGCTGCTGACTTTCTAGATTTGTCAGTAGAGCGGTGACACTTCTATGTCTATATATATATCCTTACTGCGTTGAAAAAAAAATATATATATGAAAAAATAGTACAAATGTAATGTTGTATATTCATGATTTTTCAGGATGCCTTAATGACCAATTTTTTGGTCGTTGAGGTACAGCTTGCACCACGCTGATGAGGGCCAACAGCCCGAAACGCGTCCGTGGTTAGCTTTTCTTGATTAATCAAGAATGGGTATTTGGCCAATTCTGGAATAATTAAAAATCAACGAGAATAGTTGATATTTATTCCGATAGATGGCGCAAGCCATCAGCAACTTTCAGTTGCACGATAAGGAGATGCCTTTTTCTTAATATATATATATATAACACGGCCTGTGATTGTAAAACGACATTTGAAATACTACCCCGTATGTGTTTCTTTTCAACGAAAATTCAAATTTATTTCAAGGAGAAATAACGATTATTTCTAACCTTTTGGATGAGGTATGAAAGGGTGAATTGTGAAGAGTAATGATAAACGGAAAAATAAAAGTGTCCAGGGATGGGAATCGAACCCACAGTGTTCCGCTTACCGGGCAGATGCCATGTCCACTAGGCTACTTTATGTATTATTTACGAACGGAAAAATATGTCCAAGGTAGCCTAGTGGACATGGCATCTGCCCGGTAAGCGGAACACTGTGGGTTCGATTCCCATCCCTGGACACTTTTATTTTTCCGTTTATCATTACTCTTCACAATTCATCCTTTTATACCTCATCCCAAAGGTTAGAAATAGTCGTTCTTTCGCCTTGAAATAAATTTTGAATTTTCGTTGAAAAGAAATATATATATATATTGAGAGAGCTTGACTCATCAGTGGTGAACCCTCCCAGCGGTTTCGCCAATTTAATCTACCAGACCGCTTCTTAGAGCTCTTTCATCGCAGTAAGGACAGTAGAAGTTTGTTCTATATTTAAAAAGAGAAACATTCTTGTTTTTAATGCTTCTTATTCCAATTTCTTTTCATCGCAGTAAGGACAGAATTAATGTAATTTCAAACAGAAATAATGTAATATATTTTCTCTCAATATATTGTAGGTATTTGAAATATGTATGTCGTGGTCAAATAAAAAGGCGCAACCGTTATGCCAAGCGAACAGCGCATACCGCGATGTCTGCCACCTTTATTTTTTTTGTACAGTTTTTATAGATGGATGAATTTACATATTTACATTTTAACACAAGCTTAACATATTTACATACTTCTTTTGACGAAAATAAATTATATCTCTTGGGGATTAATTATACAAATTTTGACATGTATATAATAATGTGTATATAAATTATATTTATTATTAAGTTGTTAAAGTGATAATCCTGTTGAAGGACTGACAAGTCCGAAAGCTTGAAAATAAAAAGTTGTACCAGAAACCTAACCCTAGAAGCGCTTCATTTATTTTATAATTTAACAGAAGAAATCTGTTTTATATTTTAAAAGAAACATTCGTTCTTATAACGCCTTCATTTCTTATCCCTTTTTATATAATGAAAAAAAAGTTATAAAACTTTAGTTGAACTAATAGTTACAAATAACTATATTTTTTCCTATACCATCTCTCTAAGCACAAGTAGTTAAGCTAACTAGAAAGAGAAATTGGAGAGAAAGAAAGCAAAAACGGAGAATAATGACAACCCACAGACTCATCCATCTATCCTCCAATGATGAACGACCATCTAAGATAAGCTCTGATGATGATACTTTATAAAATAATTTTTCTTCCCCCCCCCCCCCCAAACTTTAATGTACTTTAAAATGGTTCCGCTAGCAAAGAAAAAAAAAGGATAAAAAAAATAAAAGAAGAAGGGCAAATATTTAGACAAGCAATTAGAAGCTATTATATCGTTAAGGTGTTTATTAAAGATGATTATGTCCACAATTGCCCCCTCTTCTTCTCTTCTATATGGCTAAGATCCATCTACCGTGTGTGTTCCTGTCATTATTTTACCTACCGTCTTTATTTACTTAAACACCGTTTATTGAGATTGAAAGTACGTATATACTTAGTGTAATAGATATATCGAAGTTACAAGTCAAGGATATTTACAAACTTTTATATATCAACACTAAATAGAATAAAGGCAGTGGAGGATTAAAGTTGTTTTTGTGGTATTGAGGAACAAACCTCAAAACATCTACTAATCGAATGCCCAGCATTTTAAGAATATAGAATTGAAGAATGAACTAGTTATTTGTGAACTTAACGATTTGATTTCCGATAAAAAATCATATTTAAAGTTCAATTCATTTTGTAAATACATTCTAAACTTTCTACAAAATCTGGATCTCTAATGTTTTCATGCGTTGAATAATGTAAATAACTTATGTAAATAAACCTTTCTTCTTGTTTGGCGCATGTATCCTTGCGGGATATAGCGCTTTGGTAATAAAATAATTGAAAATCTTTCAACACTTTCAACCCAAGGGATGCAAATTCGTATTCTTTCCGATTTTCAAAATTAAAAATAATATTAAATACTGAAGGGCGTCGACCGGGATCATGTCCCATACCTTCTTGCCTATCTATCAGTGGGTTGAGGGGGATGTCATCTGACCCAATGTACCTGTGAAACATCGGCAAGGACGATTTCGCGTCTCTCGGGTCGAAAGTATTAAGTAAAAATAAGGGATCTAGGAAGAAGTTTCTTTTCAAAATCTTTAATCTACAGCTTTTAGTCACGAACGTCTTCTACAGGATAAAACACAAATCATTGTATCTATTTCGACTGGTGCATAAAGACCTCTATATGTATACTGTTTATATGCAGCTATAATCATATATATTATTGTATTAAACCCGTATTATAAATTTGTATTTACATATATAACCTAACACACATTACATAAATACACTCAGGTATACTCTTGGACAAATTTAAGGAAGTGGAAAAATTTTGATGTAGTCAGTCGTCTATTTTTTAAAGAGACAGAGGCTATTTTTTTCATAATTGGTTATATCGTATGTATTCAATAAAGGTAACTGTAATATCTTTAGAGTTATCGTCTGAATCCCGATATACATGTTAAAAGGTATATCGTTCTTAAGTTTTGTCCATAAGGAGTGTATATACTTGGTTATCTCGTGTGTCTTCAATAAAGGTCACTGTAATATCTTTCAGAGTTATTGTCTGAATCCCGATATGCATGCTAGAAGGTACAATTTCCTTAAGGTTTGTCAATAAGGAGTGTATATACTTGGTTATCTCGTGTGTCTTCAATAAAGGTTACTGTAATATCTCTCAGAGTTTTTGTCTGAAACTCAATACACATGCTAAAATGTACAACTTCATTAAGTTTTTTCCATGAGTGTATATACTTGGTTATCTCGTGTGTCTTCAATAAAGGTTACTGTAATATCTCTCAGAGTTTTTGTCTGAAACTCAATACACATGCTAAAATGTACAACTTCATCAAGTTTTTTCCATGAGTGTATATACTTGGTTATCTCGTGTGTCTTCATTAAAGGTCATTGTAATATCTTTCAGAGTTATTGTCTGAAACTCAATATTCATGCTAAAATGTACAACTTCCTTAAGTTTTTTCATGAATGTATATCATAATTAGCTAAAATATGTTATTTTACACTTCATTTAATAAAAAGACAAAACATTGTCATAAAAATTCATCCAACTAGCGCAAATGAGATAATAAATTTAAATATTCAAATTTCGCGGATGAAAAAAAACTATGAAACAAGTCTCCTAATTTATTACGTGTTTCCTCTCTTTTTGAAAATAGAAATTTATAAAAATTTATTTTTCAATTATCCTGTTTTTAAATGAGGGACTCCCTTGTTATTAGAATTAAGAGAAGAGAGGAACATGTTCCACTTTGGTAATGACATTACAAGGCATGAGATCAATAATTTCTCCAACCTCCCAAAAACTGCTGAGTCCAACATGATAATTCCTTTACTGTACACTTTTTTCTTGTTAATATTTCAGACATATATCAATTTGGTCCATTATCTATTCCATTGCTCATTCCTACAGAAAAAGAGAATGGAAATTCGCGAAATTTCGGGGCTAACTCACTATAATGAACAACATGTATATAAAATGTTTACTACTCTCCTGCTGGATAAAACATTTGTTTATAAAAATTTTAAAAAATTCAAGGCGATTGATAAAATGAGGGGAGAAGTGCTCAACTCCACAGACAACGGCTGATTGCTCCCCCTCCCCTCTAAATTGCTTTTCCTCCTCACTCATGTACATATATAACCTTTTAGGGGAATCCACTTGTAAGACAATAGTGTCTTAATGAAGGCTTATGTTGTTGTTGTTGTATTTTAGACATATATACAACATCTTCAGCTTAGATTTTTAGATTTTAACCCAATTTTCAATTAAATTATCAATCCACGGTAAAAACAAAAACATGCATGCTATATATATAAATACAGTTAAACCTGTCTATAGCGCCCCCTCTTGGGACTCACCAAAATAGGGTGCTATAGTGAAGGGGTGCTATAGACAGGTCACTTTTAATGTAGAATGTTTACATTTTAATGTTTAAAATCGGGCGCTATTTAGAGGGGACGCTATAGACAGGTTTAATTGTATATATATTTATATATATTATGATGCATTAGCGCGCCATCTGTTATGAAAAATTGAAACTATTATGGACACGTATGATTATTTTTATAAAAATTAAACAATATCTACTGCCCTTACTGCAAAGATCAGTGGTTAGCCCTCCCAGTGGTAGATTAAACTGGCGAAACTGCTGAAAGGGTCCACCACTGATGGGCCAGGCCCTCCCATTAATTTTCCATTGCATTAAGAGAGGTAGAAATTGTTTAATTTTTAAAAATAATCATACACGTCTATATTAGTTTCATATTTTCATATATATATATATATATTTATTTATATATAAATTGTCAACTGATTTCGGAATTCCTGAACATTTTAGAAATGGTATGCAGTTGTGATATCTCTCTTGGAATTTATAATTAAAAAAAAAATTAGATTACTATATATTTTTTAATTAATCTGATAAAATAATTGAAGGTTGAATAGCTTACTTTAGGCTTAAGGAATGTATCAAATATCTTTCAGAGTTATTGTCTGAATCCCGTTATACATGCTGAAAGGTACAACTTCCTTAAGTTTTGTCCATGAGTGTATCTTTCAGAGTTATTGTCTGAATTCCGATATACATGCTGAAAGATACAACATACTTAAGTTTTGTCTATGAGGAGTGTATCTTTCCGAGTTATTGTCTGAATCTCGATATACATGCTAAAAGGTACAATTTCCTTAAGTTTTGTCCATGAGTGTATCTTTCAGAGTTATTGTCTGAATCCGATATACATGCTGAAAGGTACAACTTCCTTAAGTTTTGTCCATGAGTGTATCTTTCAGAGTTATTGTCTGAATCCCGATATACATGCTGAAAGGTACAACTTCCTTAAGTTTTGTCTACGAGTGTATCTTTCAGAGTTATTTTCTTAATCCCGATATACATGCTAAAAGGTACACCTTCCTTAAAATACTCTATTAGGGTATATTTCAGAGTTATAGTCTGAATCCCGATATACATGCTGAAAGGTA